TGTGGCATTGCAGAGGTGTAGCGGAGGGCAGAATTGGCCTGCGGAAACTTTCTTACTGGGACTGATGCACGAGAAGGAAAGACATCAACTTGACTCTCAGAGCCACAGCTGAGTTTGCAAGACTGGCCATTAGGAAACAAACCAAAGCATCTTTTTACAGTAAAGAGAGCACATTTGCTATAGGCCTCCCTGAGATGACAAGCAGAGCTTCTCCTACCCCCATTTTAACAGAGACACTTTTCAGAGTAGAACCACAATTTAAGGGAAAATATGCTTGACAGAAGGGTGTAGTTTTAAGAAATGTAAATGTCTGAAAGGCAGGAAATTCAAAGTAAAGGTTACACTTAAAAAAACCCCACTCTTTGGAAGGTACCAAAACTAACCTGAGGGGTGTCGAGAGACCTCACTAATGCTTTTGGGTGGGAGGAAGGCCCTGGAGTCCCTAGCTCCACATTTCCAGCTTCTCCTCCAGGATACACGGTGATGGTCATGCACCAATGGTATGCCTGCCATACGAACCTCACTGTAGAGGATATTGTTAATAAACCATACTCAAAGTCTCCAAAAATAGCCCAGGGCTCCAGTCCTCTGCAAGGGCAACAGAAGAAAACAAATGTAGAGTTTCTAGGTCAAACCATTTTTTATGATATGATAAGCCGACAACCACCCAGAAGAGAATAATTCCACACAAATGATTTGCACGCGATTTTCTGCACTCTCACACCAAGCAAATGACTTCTCTGAATTGCCTCAGTCATTCCAAAGAAATTCTACACTGACATGTGATCGTGCACGTGTAAATTTCCGGGGGGTTGGTTTGTTTCAGTCACGTTGGAGAAGGGGGGGATCAAGATCAGGCTTTTAATGGACAGCTATGCTTCACCCTTAAGTAGGGAAAGGCTAATGCGTCCCCATTGATACATCCAATCTGAACGTCAACTTTTTGCATGTCTAGGTTCAAATATGAAGCCTTGATGTTGCATTAACAAAGGCTTTTGTATTTAATTCCCGTGTCTGATTCTCTGTTTTAAAGACAGAAAAGAAACCAAAAGGAGAACATCTTCACTGGGGCTCTATGAGGATGGGAGTGTTGCTCAGCTTCACAAAAAAACATCCCATAGCTTCACTAGCACAATTTCATAGGAAATGATGTAACTAGCAACCAAAGGTAATGGGCCTGATCCTCAGCTGGTGTGAATCAAGTGCAGCTACTTGCAGGCAATGGAACTATTCTATTCTTGTACTATGCATGCACCCGAGGGAGTTTCTATGTATTTTTTTCAGACATCCCAGCAGGTGCTTCTCACGGAGGGCTAACTGCACGTGAAGTTGGATGTCTTACCCTGCTGCTATTTTGACCTCATCTGTGCTCAGCCAACATCGTAGGCATTGTTTGGAAAGAGGAAAAAGGTTTTTTTCTGCCAACTCGCTTAAATTGCCGTGAGCTCCAACTTTCCAAAGCTATTGATATTTGGGCTGAGAGCAGGTGCAGCCCGAAAGAGAACTGGGGGAGGGGAGGACTATAATAAATGCTGCATTGCAAGTTTAGCGATAGGTTTTGCTACTGCAAAAGCGGTGGTGCTGTCCAAACACACAGGACCTGGCTCCATTACCTTTATTCCCATTGAGTAGTACCTTAGTCTGCAGGCAGTCCCCTTGAAACCCATGGAACTCATCACAGAGTAGGCTGCTGCATGGGGCTTGTCCGCAGTACAGATTTTTGCACCGATGTAAATGACACTGTTATAAAATCGCTAATGTAGGCAGGATAAGTTGTGTCGAGGGAACAGTGCTTTACTCCAGGGCTAGGGTTGCCATTTTTGGTTGGATGTATTCCTGGAAGTTTCATCACATGACGTGATCTTTAATGAAAGATTAATCTGTAATTGCTGGAGACTCCCGGGCAATCCTGAAGGGCTGGTAACCCTCACCAGGGCAGCACTAGTATGCTGGCCATTTCACTACGACTGGTGCAAACAGAAGCCCTCCAAGTGGGGAAAGAGTTTCGGCATCCGGACCATAAACATTTAAAGCATTTGATTATGATGAAGGGATCTCCACCCTAGCTTTGTCCTTCCTCAATTTCCAGGGCACTTCACCCCCTAGAGTAGGCTAGTCTAATTTACACTGGCTGGTTACAGTCGCCAAGTGGCCATTACACCAACTAGGGATTGCTGGAGCACGGTAGCACTTAGCCCACACACCTCCTCCTTGGCTACACCCTCTTCACTAGGGTGTAGCTGGCTGGATTCATTGTCTGCCTATGCCATGCAGAGAGTAGCCTGTCTCAGGATTACTGAGTTTATGCCCTGTTATGGCTCCTTTGTGCTGTCAGATTATATGGAGCAGGGTGCTGCGGCCCATGACATTCACAGCTAGGGTGACCAGACAGCAAATGTAAAAAATTGGGACGGGGATGGGGAGTAATAGGAGCCTATATAAAAAAAGACCCAAAAATCTGGACTGTCCCTATAAAATTGGGACATCTGGTCACCCTATTCACAGCAGTTGTCTCTATTGGAGACTGGTGTGTTGTGTTCTCCACTGCAGCATTTTGAGCATGAGCTTGATGCTGCCTTGGTGTCTGGACTGTAATGCTGTGTGTGAAATGGTGCCCTTGAGCCCCTGTGACAGGGTGTTCCATGTCCCGCTAGGATGGCGCCTCCTTCTGGTCACTCTGGGGAGTAGCTCGCGAGGTCGATGCCCCTTCCCACGGTTGCATGCCATCCTCTGCCTTTCTCTTTGGGTTTGCGGCCCCTCTTTCGCTCCACGAGCTGCTGCTACTTCTTCATAACTTAGCCCTCCGGCCAAGTCACTATATGTGTTTTCCCATTCCGGGGTATCAAAGTCACTTCTCCCTAGCCGTCTCAGGCAGTCTTCCCTCTCACTGCCTCAAGGTACCACTCCCTCAGTGTCTGGTTGGGGAAACCAGGCCCATCCTCTACTCTGGGTTCCAGCTCAGGGAGCCTCTAGCCAGCAGCTAAGATTTGTTCCCTCTTAGACCTTACTGCCTTTCCCTGAGCCCTTTCCTAACCTTCTGGCTCTCCCTTCCTTCACTGGGTCTGCCAGTTTCACCACTCCCTGCTCCTAGGGAGCAACTACATGTTACAGGGCTTTGCAGCCTCCAAACACTCCTCCCTTCTCCTGAAGAGTGACTGCAGCCTTTCCCAACAGCCCCTTCTGTTGCTAGCTACCTGGCTTTATACAGGTCCCTCCTGTTCCTGCTGGGCTTAATTTACCCTCTCAGGATTCATGTGGGGAGTTACACCCCACCCAGCCCTCAACTGCAATCTCTGTAAAAATAACCCTTCCTGCTCCCTCAAATCACTGTCTTACTCCTGGATTCTGTATTTGAGGTCTAATCTCTCTCATGCCCACCTTCTGTGCTGGTCCGTCCGTGACAAAGAGCTAACCCTCTCCCCATCCCTGAACACACTTGTCCAGGTTGGCCGTCGCAGCGGGACAATCCCCCTACATTCTGCTCCCTGAAATTGCCCATCCTGGAGCTCTCTGTGACTTAGGGTTCATCTCCCAGACCCCTCTGCTCAGCAAAACCTTCTGCTGGACCTGTGCTAACACCTCAGAGGTGCTGAGGCCTGGACGCAGGGAGTGTTCAGCTCAGTGATCACTGCGGGCGTGCTGAAACTCTGCTCCAACACCACGGGCCATGTTTGTGCAGCCCTAACCAGACAGGAAATGTGATCTGCTGTACTTCAGAGAATGCTATTTGTGTGTATGGGGGACGAGGGGGAGGAGTGGGCGTCAGGGGATGTACGTGCACCGGTGCTTGTTGTGAAGTGTGGGGCGTTTGAGAATCGGGGGCGTTTGTGTCTATCTGGGTATGTAGTGAGGGGGTGGAGGCAATATCTGGGTGTTGTGAAAATGTGCCTGAGCGCATCTTAGGGAGTCATCTCTGTGAGGGCTGCAGTGTGAAAGGAGCATTCTGCTCTGGTCACTACAGAGGAGAAGGTGCCGGGGCTCCTGGGGTTCTATTCCCTGCACTACTACTTACCTGTTGAGTGAGGAAGTCGCTTCATAACCTCTCCGGGCCATTTGTAAAATGGGCCTTATCCCTGCCTCACAGTTGTGTTGTGGGGATTAATTAACTGAGACCCTCAGGTGCAGTCAATGTAGACGCACAGAGCCAGCGATCGTTATTTCTGTGGGGCAAGAGGTCTGTTTGTTTGTGTGAGTGGCGTGTGGGCAGACGAGTTCTGTATGCGAGAAGGGTGTGTTTGCATGTGGTGTAACTGTGTGTGTGGGGGGGGGGATGGTTGTGTCTCAGGCCCTCTAGACACACAAAGTTGCACTGGCTGAACTACAGGCATGATTTCAAACTGATTTAGTGAAGCTGGTGCAACGTGCATGTGTGTGGTTGCTTTTAAATCAATTTACACCTGGCTTATATCGGGTTCGGTACTGGGTATGTGCGGGGGCAAGCTAACCCAGTGTAACTAGTCTTAAACCGATATCAGCATGTCCACGTGTCACTGTGGGCGTGTTTGTGTGCAGGGGGCACACACCCAGAGATATATCTTTGTGCAGCACTGTGCACAGACCAGTCTCCAATTCAGCCTAGTGCTGCAGCCTCATACCTGATTCCTTCCCGCCCCCTCTCATCACCTTTACCGTCAGGAAGTGGACGTGGTTTGGGGCTTTTTATTCTCGGCCTCACTAGCCATTTCGGGACTCCGGCGCTTAGTCTCGCTTTGACAGGGCAAGTTAGATGCAGCTTCCTGTGCTCAAGGTGAAGAAACGACAGATCGCTGGCAAGCCCTTTGTGCTTGCAGAACTGCCCGGCTCTAGCCCCTGTCTATTCCCACTAGCAGCGCCATGTGCTGAACTGGAAGCCACCCTTGTCTCACCCCACCTCTCGCCATTTGAAGGCCGGCGCCTGAGTTCCACTGGACGGACTGGTCCAGTCCCTGAGGGCCATCTCTGGCACGACTGCACAGCTAAGGAGGCCATCGCATAGGAAGGTAATGGGGCAATGCTAAGCAGCTCCCACACGGGGGTGGCTGAACTGAGAAGCTTCTTGGAAGGAGTTTCAATCTGACACATTTTTCTAGCTGTTGGCAAGGTCTAATCGTTTATTTATCTCCGTCTCTCTTTCTCTGTTTCCACATCCCTCCTTCTCTCATCGTGCCCCACATCTCCCAAGAACAGGACGGTTGTTGTTTGTTTGCTCTCTTTCTCTGAACTGAAATCTTTTATCAGAACTGGAATCTGACCGTGCCCCATGGCAGCCCTCTGGCAAGCCATCGCAGGTCCTGCCCCCTCCCACAAGGTCCAGGGTTTGCTCAAGACCCCGTCTCGTTTTGTACAACAAACCCAGGGCTTCTCTTTCGAGCACAGAGAGGGCTATTTCCCCACCACCAGCCTGGGCAAAACGAGGTGCCATTGGAGGAGCTACATGAGTGTGGGTGAAGCCTGGGACTGTAGTGATATGGAGAGTGAATTCTCCTTCCAAGGCAGGGCTGGGTGGGGCCCATCCTTGGAGCCATGTGTGGGGTGTAGCTCAGGACTGTCCAAACATGGGGGAGACTGGGGTGTATGAGTATGCTGAAACCTAGATCTACCGAACATGAAATCCTTTCTATGATCCTAATTTTTCCTGTCCTAGTCAGGTTCTTCAGACTCTGTCCACTAATCCCTAGCCCCTCCACTAACACCCCCCAACACCCACAAGGCCCGTGACCCCACAGCTAATTAACTACAAGCACTCTCTGAAGTCGCTAGCACTTAGGGTTGAAAAGAAACCCCTTCATAATGTAAACTGGGTGTGACTCCAGCAGTACTGTCTGCCTGAGTCAGCAGCCTCCCTGAAACAACAGCTCTGAGTGGTGTGCTCTCATATTCATTTCAAGAAGGCATTGACTTTGTTTTCAATTTAAATGCTAGCATTGCAAAGTGTTTCACTGCTGAGCAAAGCACACAAGGAAGGAGACAGGTCAGATTATGGAGATGGTTGCAATCTGTTGAGTGGGATTTCATCTGGGCATCAGGCATGGGCAGCTTGTAGTGTATGTAGAGCTTCAGTTGGGGGCAGACCTTGGAAGTGCCTCAGACCCCTGGTAATAGCACCAAGGGAGAAGATTACTGCAGGGACCACCTCCACAGAGAAGCGTGGAACTTTGTCATCCTCACCTGTGCTGGGGGGGGTGTCTTCTTCTCTCTTCCAGTGTGGGCCCCTCCTGTGTACGGCAGGGATGAAGCCTTCTCCTCCCCTTCTGCTTTGCTTCTGGCTGTCCATCCTTCTAGATGTTTCACTGGCATCAAGAATCACTCAGGGTAAGAAAGCATCCCCCTATGTCCCAGCAGGAGAATTAGGGAGGTGTGCAGGTGGGGACACTATTTATCCTTATGTGATATGGGAAGAGCATTGCAATTTGAAGGTTTGTCCATGTCTTGCAACAGGGCAGGAAGCACTAAAGCAAAGCAGCGCAAGAGTGACACAATATACAAGTTCCTATTGGGAGTTCTTCATTTTGGGGCATTGAAGAAGTGAGAAGGACCATAGATTTCTTCCATTCTTGTTTGGAGATGTTCCTTGGATGTTTCTTCCGGGCACTAGCCAGGCTATGAATTGAGCACTGCATGGAACTGGATGAAATGATCATTAATGCTTAATGGCTTTGTCATGACAGGATTGATGTAATGGCATCTTTTCTCCATCCACAGGACCCTCAAATCTAACTTGTGTTTATGACTCGCGGGCGACTCTCTTTTGCACCTGGGCTCCAGACAGGAATCGCACAGAAGCACCGTGCCGACTTGACGTTTTTCATGACACTGATGAGAGGTACGTGGCTGAAATTATTTAGCAAAGCCAGTGAATGTCAGGCTCTAATTGTCATCATGGCTACCTTTGATTCTGCACAAAAAGAACGGTTTCCTTGGATGTAATAAATGTAGGGCCAGATCCTCAGCTGGAGTAGCGTGATTGATTGCAATGGAGCTGCACGGATTGACACATGCTGAGGAGCTGGCTCTGGGGCCTCTTCCCTTCTCCCACCCCTAGGCTAACTAAGACCTAGGCCAGCTACTCAAGTGCCACCCCCCTTTTCAGTGGAAATCCAGCTTGAGTTCTTCTTCTCCTTTCTGTTTCTGTAATTGATTCATTTTCCAAAGAGCTCGACTCTTTGTGGGATGTCCTGTTCCCAGGCCATAGAGCAGGGGTAGGCAACCTATGGCACGCGTGCCAAAGGCGGCACGCGAGCTGATTTTCAGTGGCACTCACACTGCCCAGGTCCTGGCCACCGGTCCGGAGGGCTCTGCATTTTAATTTCATTTTAAATGAAGCTTCTTAAACATTTTAAAAACCTTGTTTACTTTACATACAACAATAGTTTAGTTATATATTATAGACTTATAGAAAGAGACCTTCCAAAAACATTAAAATGTAATACTGGCATGCGAAACCTCAAATTAGAGTGAATAAATGAAGACTCGGCACACCATTTCTGAAAGGTTGCCGACTCCTGCCATAGAGTGAGGGACACTAATAACTGGACTGGGGTCTTGCCGGTCTGCAGAGAGAGGGGTATAGTTTTAATGGGCCACTAGACTCTTCTAGTGAAGGGATGGGCTCCCTCATAGATGTTCTACCTCAGGCAGCAACATGTGGCATTACCTGGGTAAAATATTCTCCCCCCACAATAATATCCACTAACCCTTCCACCGTTCTCACTTCACCATGCTTACCCTTCCCTATCACCTCCATTACCTGTTTTGCACTGCCCTTGGTGGCTGGCAAGGGCTCGGTGGTCTATAGCTATGGGATTGTTGGTCAGGTGAGGAGTCAGCCCCCCTTTGGTGGTTAGGTGGGTGCTCATTTGAGGAATAGGTCTGCTTTGGTTCTTGTGGTTGGTGGGTCTCCACTGACTGCTGGTGGCTTCCCTGAGACAGGGTGGGTGTGTCCACTGCAGTAGTGGGTTCGCCATGGCTGATGTATGGGGTGGAAAGCAGAGCAGGTTTCCCTTGCATGGGGACGGTGGGTCAGAGCAAATGGGCTCCAGGCGCCTGCCCAGTACTAGGTCTTTGAACTCTGAGCTGGGTGTGGGACTGGGCAGGCCAGCACCGGTGGGGAGAGAGGCAGGTGGCAGTGGCTAGAGGACTCCCACTGAGTAGAGCAGCAGTTTGACTCCATCTCCTCCCCTCCTCTTGCAGTAGTACCTTGCGGGGTGTGTAGGAGGGACAATGTGGTTCACCTTCTCGGTGCTCCCAGCAGCACTGGGGAGGGATGCAGGAGGCAGTTCCTCTGGCAGCAGCTGCCACAGCGGTGCTGAGAATAAAACAGAGTGGGTGGGTGGCTGGCAGGGTTTTGCCTGTGAGAGCACCAGGACTCTGCAACTTGCCCCCCTGCCTGGTCCATAATATTTGGAATCTGATGACTTTCTGGGCACACTGTCAAAGACATCTGTTTGAGATGGGTTTTGGAGAGGGGCTGAGGGTGTGCTCCCCACATCAGTGAAGGGTCTCTGTAGGTGGCTGGCTGAGCTCCCGTTACCATTAGTTTAATGCTGCTGGGATTTCGTTGTATTGTAGTAGCAAGGACGTCTGGGTGCCTAATGCCTTGGATGAGTGTCTGTGATGATTTCAAATCTAAATAAATAATTACATGCATACAAGCCCCTCCAGCTCAGCAGTATTCTGGTCTTCTCTCTGACAGGAATCTAACAAGGAGTTGTGAATTTCCTAGTATGGCACCCAGGAGATGTGAACTAGCCTTCGATAAAGACATTGATGTAGGTAACCCAACTGAAATGTGCTGGCTAATAAAAGGGGCTGGGGGTGATCGGTATATGGGTTATCACTGTAATAACAGTGTGACACACACAAGTGCTGCTACGAGATAAAACTTTATTTCCTGGTTCCAGACCCCTGACTTGGGGCAGAGTTCCAAGGGGTTAATACTCTGGCCCCTGACAGAGGTCAGTATCCAGTCACCATCCCAGCCAATCTGTTACAAACCCCAGGAGGTGACACTCTAATACTACAGTGTATTTAGCTCCCTTCCTTGCATCACCAGGCACAGCCCATCAAGAACTACGCAGGCCCCAGTGCCTGTTTCCATGGATCAGTCCAGAGCCCTGCAGCCTGAGGTCACCGGACAGTTACAGTGCCCACAGAGTTATGTCAGGCATGCCAACACAACCTCCTCAGGCGCTGACCATGTGTACTCACAGGGTAATGCTCTCTGAGGCTGCGTTGTCGTGGCATAAAGGCAGAGACGCTGTGACGCAACCTGATTATCGCGTCCTGCAAGACGGCTGGTACTTAAGGAGCAGCCCCTGCTACTCCTAGCCAGCTTCAATCTGCTTTACGCTCCACCCCTTGTGGAAAAAGAGATAACACTTCTTGAATATTTAACTCATCTAATCTCTGTCCCTCGGGTTCCCCAATGGGGCTAATCTAACACTGTCCTGCTTATTAAGATGTGTAAAGCACTTCGAGATTCTTAGGGTGGGAGGAGTGATGGTCGTGCCTTAACGTAGCCTGTGACGATAGAGGCCTTAGAAATGTGAACGATACATAGCGGGGGGACTAGTAATGCTAATAGCAAATTTCCCTGCAGTGTCAGGTCTTCACGGTTGTAGACTCACTTCGCCTGACTGTGTCCTGCCAAGCTGGGGAAAACGGGACAACTGTGATTCAACAGCAGAAATTCGGACTGTGGGACAACAGTGAGTGTTAATCAGTGTTTGATCCCCCAAGGCTTCAATCTGTGGTTAGATCTGTCCCCTGTGCCACCTTGTCCTCCCCGGGCTTCCTATTTACCCCATGCCTGATCTCAGGCTTGCCTCGTCTCCCTGCTCCACTGCAACTGTATGCTCACTCGGTCACGCCGTGCCACAGATTCGCCATGCCCCCTCCTGTTGCTTCCAGCATGGCACTGCAGCTTCCCTGAGCGTTGGCTCTGACATACTGCTTGGTACCAACTACCCTCTGCCCCCAGCCTGGGTGCATTGATCTAGGGAGAAGAGCTTTGGCTGTTAAGGTGTGTCCTTTGGTGGCAACAGTTGAGCTAGATCCTTTGCTGGTGTACATCTATGCAGTGCTACTGACTGCAGAGGGGCAGTGCCCATTTACCCCAGCTGAGCAACTGGCCCTCTGTACTTAATGGGGAAAAAAATCCTAGCAAGACTACAGATTGCTTGACTCTGATCCTGCTCCGCTAACGTCATTGGGAATTTTGCCATTGATTTCAATGGGGGCAGAAGCAGAGCGCCCTGGGGAACAGGAAAAGAGGCAATATTCACAAAATGAATTGTTCGGGACAAATGATTGGGGCGGTTTCACAGATGCGCACACCCAGTGGAACGGCCCAGAGCACATCCCCGGAGAGGGGTGTCTGCCAGTGAAGCCACATAACAGAGAGAGAGCACAAAGCGCTATTGTAGCCTTTGCTTCTGTTTCCCAGGGTGTGTATCCCAGCGCCTCTCTCACTCTTCTCTTCCCAGTACAGCTGAGGCCACCTGACAACCTCCAAGTGGTAAACACCAGTGACTCCAGCTGCAACTTAACTTGGAGAATTCCTATTTCCTCTCACTACTTAAAAAATAAACGGGAGTTTGAAGTGTGGTGCAGAGATCGCTCAAAGCCCCAGGAGGTGAGTGCAGGATCCCAGACTAGCTTCTCCTGCTGATGGGCCTCAGGCCTGTAACTAGTGGAGGAGGCAGAACCGCCTTATTGCAAAGAGCCTGCTATTCCCGCTTGTGCTCGAGACCCTTCCCCAGATGGCTGCAATGCCATCGCCTCAGAGGAGAGGCCAAAGGGGGCAGTGACTCCTACTTCAGTTTTATCTGCATCATCCACTGCCAGCATATGGTGATGGCAGGGAAGCAAAGGGAAGTTCTAGTCTGCCCAGTGCTGGGATGAGAGGCATCAGAATGGTGTCCTCCCAGTATGGGACAGAGAAGACTGTGGAGATGAAAAAGGTAGAACGGGCCTCCTCCCACTGTGGAGCAGAGGGGCTATGATGTGGGCAAGGGGTGCCCTCCTGGTACAGCATTGGATAACCGATATGCTGGCTGTGAGAGTCCCAGAGCCAACTCTGCTCTAATTGGACAGCCGAGAGGTGTGATGGTGTGGACTGTGTGTGGGAGAACATAGCAATCACTCTGTAACTTTTATTCCATCCCAGACTGCCATGCTCCTCCCTATCAAGCAGGACCAGGAATGGGTGAGGATTGAGAACCTTTCGCCTGACTCAGAGTATGAGGCTGAAGTTCGCGTGAAGCCAAAGCATTATGGTTTGTGGAGCAACTGGAGCAAGACGCTCACATGGAGGACAGATCGTAGTGATGTGAATCTTGGATATTCAGGTAATGAGACTCAGAGGAGTGGGTAGGCCAAGGCTTGGAGATAGGTGAGGAGAGAGCAGGGCCCGCCCTAGTCCAAATGGTGCCCCAGGCGAGGGGTGTCTTCGGTGCACCCCCTGCCCCTTTGTTAAACCTTTGAATACCTTATTTTGTATTGAATGTGTAGGGCATATCACAACTTTGATGCACGATTTGCCTGCATGATTTATCGCTGGCATATAAGACGATCTGCATGATTTATCGCTGGCATATAAGACGATAAACTTGCAAGCTAGGATCTATAAATCTGTATTTATTCATGCCATATATAAGCAAATACAAAAATTCATTTCCTCTGAGCTTATAGAAACTTTTTAATTTTAAGAATAACTGAAGTGTACTAACATCAATAAATTGAACTGTGCACCAACACTGCGTGGGGCAGTATTAAATAGTATTACAGTAGGTGACAGCCTTAGAATGTTAACTCTAGTCCTTTAGTTCAAAAGAAGTAACAGTATATTCTTTTATATTATAACTCCTATAGATAGGCGTTCAATAGATATCCCTGGTGTTTCATTAAATATGTCCATTATTAGTTGCTACTTACTCTCTTCAAGTCTTAAAACAGAAGTAGACTTTCACAATTACACAATAAAACAAGGTTCACAATATCGCAGTTGGGCTCTCACATCACTTCCCTTCTTTCTTATATCTCACTGACTGACTGGCAACGCCCCGCCCCTTATATATCCACGAGGGCATGGCTGACAACATTCTAGGATGTTCAAGGAAAATGTAGTTCTCAGAAAGTCTGGAATGTTCCATGAGATTTTTACGAAGGTCCAGAACATTCTAGGGGGTTAGTCAAAAATGAATCCCCATCCGGAATACCTGAAACATTTTACTTCAAACATTCTATTTTCTCTTTTGTCGCTAACAACAAAAACAGCACCCCAAACCCGGCACCCCAGGTGGTCCCCTGGGTCGCCTGTCCCTAAATCTGGTCCTCGGGGAGAGGTTCAGGAGAAAGGGGAGAACAAGGGTTGGAGTTATGTGGGAGCAGGAAAAGTAGGGAGTGGAGGGATGCACAAATCAAAGTACAATAGAAAGACTGGAAATAGCTTGAGAGGAGCCTTTCCTGTAATCCTAGACCCAGGTCAGGTGAGCAGGGCCTGCTGGTCCAAAGGACAAGAGCCCCAAAGTGAAAGCCTGGCCCCATTGAAGCCAATGGGAGTCGGGCCAGGATTCCAGTCACAGACTCCAGTGGAAGCCCTCTCCCTAAGTGCAGCAGAGCAACTCCCTGACCAGGGGAACAAGAGGCCTGGGAAACACTTTCTAGAGGGCCCCTGTAACTTAGGAGCTTACGTCCCATTTTCAAAAGTGACTTGGGCCCTTCGGGCTTAAGGCTCACCGAAAATCAACGGGACCTAGGCTCCAAAGTGCCATGGGGCCAGATGTTTAAATGTCCTTAGGTGCCTAATGCCTATTGAAATTAATGGGAGTTAGCTGTCTAAACAGCTTCTGCAAAATGTTACCCCAGGACTCTCCCGTAGGCAGTGCAGAACAGGGCTAGCTGTCCAGGCCAGTCAGAAGCCTGTGCAGCCTGCAGCCTGGGCAAATACCATCTCCAGCAGGGGTGTCTGGTGAGTCCTCGGCTCCTTTTAATTTTAGTTTCTTCACAGGAAGTAGGCAGCTCGTGGGTCCCCCCACACTGAGGCAGGTAGTGATCTAAACAGAGCAGCTATGTTTAGAAGGGGCAGTGTGTTGCTGTGGCAATCAAACTTTGATAGCATATGATGTCAGTGAAAAGGATTCAGCTACAACCAGTTGTTGTGGCAACTGGGAGCCAAAGTTACCTGAGGTGGAGGAAACAAAGGGATCTTAGTAACATCTCAAGGACATGAGGGAGAAGCTTCTCCGAAGGTGTCCCACTGTGCCTCTCTTTCCTCTCCCTCTTCTCTCCTCTGCATCCTTCCCCCTCTTCCAAGGGGCTCAGCAGGTCCAAAACGAGGTGCACTGGCAGAGGGGACACAAGATGAAGAGTAACAGGAGTGGGGCAGGATGGAGCTAGGGTGCATTTGCAGAGCTGTGTAGGAGAGGGAATAGCAGGGGGGCGGCAGGTCAGGGATGAAGTGCATGGTCATTGCAGTCAGGACAGGAATAGCAGAGAGAGGCTGTAGGTGAGCTGTGAGGTGCATTGGCAAGGCTGGGGAGTGGGGGGTTCAGATCTGTTCCTGATCACAAAGGCATGCTGGCTGTCAGACTTGTGTGGCCAGTCACCCACTTATCTGACCGGGATCTCAAACCTCTTTGTTTAGAAGTGAAATAAAACCCAACTGGAGTGACTGGGGTACCCACTTCCTCTGTTCTGGCTGTCACTTTCTAGTAACTCTCTCCTCTTGCAGTACTTCCCCTGGGGGACCTCCAGCTTACGATGCCAGCCCTTGTGGGGACCATCTGCACCATCGTCTTCGTTGTCATCATTGTCTTGATCATCACCTCACAGCCATTGAAAAGGTAAAAGGGACATGAATGGTCCTCTCCAGTCCTGTCCCAGGCCCAGTGTGTCTTTCTGTCCTCATTTTCTTTCTCTCAGATGAGGCCAGAGTCCCTTAGTCTGATCTGGAGCCGAGTCATTCCGCCTCTCTGGGTTGCTACTGGTATTGTCCCAAGGGACGGCCTGACGTTGAGGGAATTCAGTGTTTGCACTATGATGTTGAGATACTGTGACATAGCGTGATGTCATAACATCAACAAGCTCAAAATAGCCACAGGACACTCTCTCTTTGGGCCAGATTTTTAAAGGAATTCACATTGAAATCAACAGGAGTTAGGTGCCTAAATATCTTTAGAAATCTGACCCTCTAGCTGAAATTCACCTTTGTGTAGAGGAACCAGAACAAGGCCTATGCACCTCTTAATCTCTCAAAACAGGGCTAAAGTGGGACATGAGCAGTGCTTGGACTGCATGCAGGCCCACTGCATAAGGTTTGGATTTCACCCTCTGATTATAGGTCATGGGACAGGCCCCTGCAGTCAGGATAGTTCTACAATATTTTGGTGGGATGCTGATTTAAACCTCTTCCTGCCCATCATTTTTGTCCTAATATTGTTCTTAATCAATGCTGAACGTGCCGCACGAGGGCACCCGGTACAGTAAGATAGAGAATAGCCTGACAACATCATGGAAATTGAAAGTGGCTTCAGATTTAGTCACCTCATTTCAGAAAGGGACACAACAGAATAGAAAAGGCACAGAGAAAAGCAATCTAAATATCAGAGTGGGGAGGTGCTTCCATATAAAGATGGATTACAGAGGGGGACTATTTCATTTGTAGAGGAGGAGAGATTATAGGAGTGTGTAAAATGATTATGGGAATAGAGAAAGCCAACTGGCCTCTCCTGTTTGCCCTGTGTCATAATGCGAGGGCAAGAGAGCACTCCATTTACAACACATATAAACACAGCTAATCCTCTTCCCTCGATGTATAATTAACCTGTGGAACTCAATGATGCAGGATGATGCTGTATAGAAAAGGATTAGATGTGCAGGAAGGAAAATAGCTTCTGCAGTGATGCAAGCTAGTATAAATGTACAAGGACTATCAAATTCTCCTGCTTCAGAGCACAGGGGTCAGGAGGAATTTCCCTCACCATAGATTATTGCCCAGTAAAGGTGCATTAGGAGACCTTTAGGCATCTGAAGGATTTGGTATTGGCCACCTTGAGAGACAGGAAAAGTAGACCGGATGACTTGGCTCTGGTATGGTCTGGCAATACCAGTGTAGCTTGTTATGTCATGATGATATAAGGCATCATGAAGTGGTGCTGCAGTGTGAATGCCATACAACACTGCCATGCTGCATCCTGATGACAGGGCACAGAGACTGTGGCATTGCCATCTCATGCTGCCATTTCATGAGGGCACTGCAATCTCTGCATCACTGTGATGGCAACCAAGTGAGGCACAATCAGCTCATGGCAACAGGCCTTGGAAACCATGCCAGCAATTTGGAGCAAAGATGGCGTCTCGCCCAGCTTGGCAGCTACTGAAAGGAGTGGACAGGCCTGGACAACAGAAGAGCCAGGCAAGGATGCTGGTGAATGGCAGCATTATCAGCTCTGGGGAAAAGGCTGAGGGAAATAGCTTTTGCAATGCCATTTTCTCTCTCAGTTTCTGTGTCCCCAATACATCCATCAGCAAATGTGGAGATTTTCTCAGGCTACTGGTGGGGGATGGGGATAAAGAGCCCTGGGGCTTGGTTCTCCCTTACTTACACCACTTTTACACCAGCATAACTCCAGTGACTTTAGTGGAGTTACTCTTCATTTACACTGGTGCCAGGGACGGAGCGTCAGGCCCCTGGAAGACCACAGGTCTCCACGTCACGTTCACTTCTCTCTCTCTCTCTCTCTGGTGAAGGCTTAAGAAGGTGCTGAAGATTTACATTCCAGACCCGGACAAGTTCTTTCCCCCGCTGAGCACTGTGCACAGAGGCGACGTTCAGGTACGGGGACCAGGGGAAGGTGGGCTGTTCGTGGGAGGGGGTCAGAGAAGGACAAGCTGGGAGAGGAGAGGACTGGCTGCCTCCCTCATGCTGTAGATGGATGGGAAGGACGTTCAGCTCCCAGATCTAGTGTGTGCATCACTGGACCCTCCAGCACTGGCTGCTGCTGCGGGATTTGCTTTAGTTTTATGTTTGACCTTTCTAAGCTGCCACTTCTGCTCCATCTCTAATTAGAGAACCGAGAAAGTGCAAACCACCAAACCTCAGACCTCTGCTCTGCTGACAGGAAGGGCTGAGAGAGCACACAGGAGTATAGGAGAGTTCAAGCCTCTTGGAGTCCATCCCACCCTGCCTCTCTGCCTTCTTCTTCGCTTCTTCTAGCCCCTCCTCCTGCCATTTGTCATGTTCTCCCTCTCCCTCCCTTCAACTCCTCTCTCTTTCTCTATCGCGAGATCCCTTTCTCTTTCTTCCTCCCTTTCCTTATGAAGATCACGCAGGGAAAGCTCTTGAGGCTGGCTCCTTATTTTAAAATGGCTCAGAGCCTGGTGAGGGATCCCCAGGGACCTATTCCCCATTGGAGATCCCAGAGGAGCGATGATAAGGGCGTATATTCTGTATGGGAGATGTCTGGAGTGTATTCATCATGGGCATGAAGGAAAAGAGACCCTAGGCCTCTGTGTCTCTGTTGTGAGAGTGTTATACTGCTGCCACTTTGAACATAACAATATCTCTTCTGTGTTTCCCCCCCTTCCCCTTTAGAAGTGGCTCTCCTCTCCATTTTCCACGTCTCTCTTCAGTGTGAGCAGTATCTCCCCAGAAATCTCAGAGCTAGAGATAATTCAGAAGGAGAAACAGGACTCCCAGCTCCTCCTTCCCAAGGCCTTTCTCACCTCTGGTGCCCCGCCAGAAACCAGCGGGCACTCACTGACCAGCTGCTTCACCAACCAAGGCTATTTCTTTTTCCACCTCCCTGACTCCTATGAGATTGAGCCCTGCCAGGTGTATTTCACCTACGAGCCCTTCGCCCGGAAGAGCAGTGGCAGTGAAGATGGTGATTCCTATGGAGCACTCCCCTCCCCAGATCTCTGCATGCTGGAGGACGACCTGCCACTCTTCTCCTCCGGATTTCTTCATTGCATCGAAGCAAACCAAGGTTTCCAGAACAGTTCTTTTGTGGGAGAGATTCAGAGCACAACCAATGGGCTTGGGGCACTTCCTGAGGCTCTTCTGTCATCCGAGAGCTCCTCCCCAGCATTGGTATTGGAGCAGGATGAGAAGGTGAATGGAAATGACACAGTTTTACAGCTCTCTGAATCCCAACAGAAGCCTGGCATGGTCTTCTCAGATGTCCCAGGGCTGCATGACAACGATACCATTCAAACCACAGAAGAGGCTGAGGACGCAGACCCTCAAATCAGTTCCACTACTACTATGGCAGATGCAAGCTCTTCGTTTTCCCAGCCCATGCCTCTGAGGCAAGGTCAAGCTGATGATCTCCACAGGACTGCTTCCTCCAGCCAGGTCCCAAACACTGGGGCCTACCTATCTTTGAGTGAGCTCCAAAGCCAATACAACCATCATTCAGTCTAAGATCTGCCTCAAGAACCTTCTGAGCTTAAGGCCTTCTCTGGAGGGAGAGATGGACAAACAGACAAACTGTCTAAGAGAACAAGAAGTTGAACATTAGTTTTAACAAACCCAATGGGACTTATCTTTTGAGTAGCATGGAGAGAGAGACCCTTGTACTTTTCACTGTTGCAAGGGAATGGGACCTTGGTGGCACATGGAACGAGTATGATCCAAACCTACAACCTGAAGGAAAAGTAAAGGCCCTAATAGGTCAGCTTTGGATTGGGGATGGGTGAATGTATGAAGGGATGAAAATCTAAGAAAAAGGATGCTCAGGAGGAGAGATGTGTGCATGGATGGATTCCGTGGTACAGACAACACCATGGATAAGCTGACAGCTTGGTAGATACTGTGGCTGGATGGATACCATGGAAGGAGAACTAGATAGACGAATGGGTAGACAAATGGATAGAGATGAAATTGAGAAAGTCAGAAAGGGGCATTACAACTATTAAAGTACATAGAGCAAATGGAGAAAGAGAAATTGGATTGCTCTGCAACTCGGCGTGAAGATAGTACCAAACCCTGAGGCTGAGCAGCCAAACTTTCCATCCCTCAAGTACCAATTTACAGGGCATGCAAGCATCTACAGGGGAATAGAAATACTTGAGAAGGTGGAGGTGGTGAACTGCTAGTGAGTGCTGGGGGCTGCTGAGGATGGAGGTGATGGACGGTGTTAAGGGTGGTCCTTACTGATTGGCCCAGGGTTTAGTTCATTTCCTGCATCCTTCCCACTCCAGTCTGTGTGAAGTGAATGTTCTAATGAGTTTGGTCCCAACCAGATATCTGGGTTTGGGCTTGGGTCTTCAAAGACAATTCAAAGCCAGAAATGAGTCAAGGGATGTGATCAAAAAAACAATCCCTACTATCAGCAAAAAAATACTAGGGAAAATTCCCCCATCTTATGAGGTGTGGGGGAAGCAAGTGAGATGCTAGCAATAACATAGAACACAACATTTCCCATTCTTGCTGCAATCTTTTCATGAAATCAAAAGCCTCTTTGCCCTACAGACCAAAACCCTGTCATTCGACTGTGATAAGATAATTGCAGAAGAGTCCACCCCACATCCTGTAGTAAGTGGAAATCATTTAATTGGTAATCCCCATTCCTTCCTTTGCTTGAGGGGAATCATTGCTCAATTAGCAGTAAAGGCAGATAAATCAGCTCCAGATAAATGACTTCAGATCATCACCGTTGCCTAAAACCAAAACTCGGTCCATTCATTTGGCTCAAAAAAATTTTTGGATAGCATTTTGTAGTGCCTCCATATTTACTGATTTGGGGCAGAAGTGCTGAAATAATCCGGGGAGGTCGGGGATAGGGGGAAGACTGTTGATGTTGGTTCCATGGTATCTGTCCATCCATCCGTCTGACCATCCTTTGTATCTATTGTATCTTTTTCTTGACATCTTTCCAGACCTGTCTAGACATGGGAAATACCAACCTCATGCTAAAAAGACCTGAGCTCTCTCACACGAGATTTCCAAACCAAAGAAATTTGGATAAGCATCCAAACTTTTGAGGAACATATCCAAACCTTTAGGATACTTCTGTAAACCTTCCAAGATTCACCCACATTTAGTTCACTGTTCCCCATTTCCACACTAATGTTGAGTTTCCCCCTTTGTCCTGGTACTCCTGTTCCAGCACCAAAATTATTCCCCCAGTTTCATTCTCCTGAGCTATTAAATTGAACGCTTTGCTTGTCAGATAAGTGGGTGTCCAATGGGTTTGATTTTGTCCATGAAAGTGCTGCTGATACTGCAATAGGATGGAACCTGGCCTGGTTAGCATTGAGAAGGTTGCAGGGAGCCAATCCTTTCCTGTATCTCTTTCTCCAAGCCACTGCACATGTCTCAGGATGCCTGTCATCCCACCATCTCAGAGACTGGGGATAAAGAAGGGATAACTGCTTCCCAGCTGAGTGAGGCCAAGGCCACCCAGTGTATTTAATGTGCTATTGGAAGCTCTCAAGACGCACCATAAAGAGTAAGCACTGCCAGGCTGGATGCTAGCTTAGATGGCCAGTAATCCCATCGCGGTTCCTAGGTATTTCTTCATAAGCTTCTTAATCATTCTTGCTGCTAAAACGAGTAACAAAAAAACCTGCCTTTTTGTCAATAAAATAAAAATCAATGCAGTGTCAAAATAGCACATTTTTCATTGCCATTTGGTAGGGGAACTGGGATATTAACCACCGCTACTGGTTGGATGGAAGTGAGTTCTTGATCACAGTTCAGGGATCAGGAAGAGGGCCTGAGGGGGTTAGCTCTTGGTCACAGATAGTCTGCTGCCTAGACAATGAGTTCAGGGGACAGAAAGGGGATTTGCCTTTAGCCAAAGATTGTTGGGCATTGGTAGATTAGGCTCAGGGAGCAGAAGGGGGTATTTTAGGGCATTACCCTTCACTCATAGATAGTTCAGTCATTGGGCCTGATCCAAAGCTAGTCTCCTGTGGGCTGAAATCCTTTGATCTAATTTCAGTTGTTGGGTTTAATGTGAGGGTGTGGCTGATGTTGGTGGCTATATAGGAGGTCAGATTAATTGTGCTCCCTTCTGGCTGCCTTATACTCTATGACTCTATTAAAAGAATGTCAAGACTCCCATTGACTTCAATGGGCTTTGAATTAGACCCTTTGGATAGCAAATGTAGGGATCAGATAGCGGCTTCAGGGGGATGAACCCTCATTCACAGACAGTTGGGTGCTGGAGCACTGAGCTCAGGGAGTAGAAAGGAGGAATAGTTTCCAGTCACAGACAGCTGGGTAATTGGATAGCTGCTTCAGGGGAAGGGGAAGACATTTCAGGGGAATTAACCCTCAGTCACAGACAGTGATAGGGAGGGTGGAAGTAACGTAAATTGTATTTTAGAACCTAGTCACTATGATCCTCTCCAGATCGACTCAGGAAGTATCGCTGGCAGCAAAATTGCCGCAGGCCACCGAGAATCAATTGGCCGACTAAATATTTTCCCACTTCTGAAAATGCGAATGGTTTTCAAGCATGTAAGCTGCTAGAAGTGAGACAGCAGCCACTCTGGGGTGTGAATGTGTGATGTGCTGTGGCAGGAAGTGCTCAGCATAAGATCTGAAGATAACTGGACCTTTATTCCAGGAAGCTAGGTCATGTGGTCTAAAATTGCTGCAGATGTGAGATTAGTTGAGTTGTGGCATAGAAGAGCCATTGCCAGTTGCTTCACGACCCTTTTCTGCTGAGTCCTGAAGAGTCCTTGGAAGTGCCATGAAGGTCTAAAGGGCCCCAAGCTGATCCAAATGTGGCATGGACAAAGCCATGTGACAAAGCCACAAAAAAAGGGCAACACAGTGTCCATCAATTATAGTTTCCTTATTAAATTGAACTCCAGCACCAGTGAAAAGTGCTGGGCCAGCAGTCCTGGAGTAAGAGTCCGCTATTTATCTTGAGCGCAGGTACAACATAGATAGTAGCAATGCAGGTTTACACACACACACGCTACCCTGACATCCTACCAATGTACCTCATTTCTGACCTGCGGAGAGTTGCACAACAGCCAGTCCCCATCCCGCACCATGGGAAAGTGGAAATTCAGGGCCAAATTCAACCTTGGTGCAACTCCTTTGAAGTCAGATTTACTTTTGGATCTGTGTTCTTGGTTTATTCATAGATACCACAGTGATGAATGTGGTACTCAGATTGGTTAGATTAGATGAATGTCTACGCATACAGCACTGCAGCGGCAACGCAGTAGTGTGTCTCATGAAGATGCTCCATGCTGATGGGAGAGAACTTTCCCATTGGCATAATAAAACCACCTCCCGACATAAGGCTGTCCACAGCGGCGCTTATGTCAGTGAGATGGTTTACTCACACACCCCTGTGCAACATAAGTTGTAGTGTAGAAATAGCCTGAACTCAGTACTTGGCCTCTCTACGAAGACCATAAACAAAGGCGAGGCAATTGTTTTCTGGAAGGAAGGATGGATGATCTTGTACTGAAGGTACTGGCCTGGGAGTCAGGACATCTGGGTTCAATCCCACTGTCACAAACTTCTCACGTGACCTTGGAGCACAATTTTCAAAAGCATCCAAATAACATAGGAGCCTAAGTCCCATTTTCAAAAGGAATTTAAGTACCTAGGAGCCCACATCCCATTTACTTTCAATAAGACTTAGGCTCCTAAGTCATGTAGGGGTTTTCTAAAATTTTACCCTTAGGTGCCCAAGTGCCAGATTTGTAAAGGTATTAGCCAGCTAGAGAGGCAGATAGGCACTTAAATGCCTTTAAAATTTGGCCCTAAATCACTTTTGAAAATGGGACTTAGGCTTTTAAGTCCCTTAGGCACTTTTAAAATGTTTATCTTTAGTCTCTCTGTTCCTCAGTTTCCCATTTGTAAAATGGTCATGATAATAACCCTTCCCTGTGAAGGGAGCAAATCTGCCAATAAGCGCAGGACCCACCAAGGTGGAAGAGGAACTTTGTCACAACTGGTGTTAGGAGTGGGATTTGGGGTGCACAGCGCGGCGGAAGAAGGAGGGTGATTTAAAAAAAAAAGGGGGGGGGAGGAGGGTTTATTTATTTTTTCACTACAATGGATGACATAGTGCGGGCACTGATACAAGCTACGGCGGCCCAGCAGGAGGCTACCCGTGTCCAGGCAGCCACCCAGCAGGAGGCAGTGCGGCTGCAGCAAGAGACTAATCACCTGCTGATGGACCAGGCTGCTCAAGACCGAGCTATCTTGCGAGAACTGGTAAGCCAGGTAAAGACCCTTACAGAGCTGAACCGTGGTCATGATGGGATGCGGCTCATACGGGCCAGCCATTGGCTGCAGAAAATGACGTGGGAGGATGATGTAGAGGCATACCTTCTGGCCTTTGAGAGGGCAGCCCTACGGGAGGCCTGGCCTCGAGATCAGTGGTCTGGCATCCTTGCCCCATTCCTGTGTGGGGAGGCCCAGAAGGCCTACTATGATCTGCCTGAAGAGGCTGCAGCAGACTACCCCCAGCTGAAAGCAGAGATCCTGGCCAGATCTGGGGTAACGACTGCAGTGCGGGCCCAGCGGTATCACAAGTGGAGGTACCAGGAAAACAAAACCCCGCGGTCCCAATTGTATGACCTCATCCATCTTGCACGAAAGTGGTTGCAAACTGAGTCCCGGAATCTGGAAGAGATACTAGAGGTTCTGGTCATTGACCAATACATGACGGGACTACCGCCAGACCTTTGGGCCTGGGTAAGCCAGAACGAACTCTGAAGTTAGTGAGGCATCCACAGTAGACTGTCAACCCCCAGTCTTCTCTGAAATATCCCCAGATTTGTTCTCCACTCCTAGACAGGGTAGAAAGACAAAAAGGGAAAGGAGGGCAGCTAAGGCCTTGGGAACCCGAATACTGACCCAAAGCCAGAGGGTCGCTCTCGTAGGTAGGTGGACCCGAGCAGCTGAAAAGGAGGCCACCCAGGAGGGAGAAGTACCCGAGTCTGACCCCCACCCTAACACTTCTGAACCAGTAGAGGCAACAGAGACTGGCCCCCTAGATCTCAGGCAGATAAGCCCCGGGAGAGGAAATTTTGGATGGGACCAGGCAGAAGACCCAAGGTACGACAACATTAGGAAGGAGGTGACTGAAATAGATGGGGTCCCCGTGGAAGGGAAAACCCAGGGACCAGGACCCTACTTCATAATGAAGAAGGATCTCTTATACCGGGTTGCACCAGTACAGGGGAAGAAGGTACAGCAGATCCTAGTACCTCAAAAACACCAGAATGCTGTATTAAGTCTTGCCCATAGTCATCTTTTTGGGGGACATTTGGGGGTAGAGAAGACCCTGGCCAGGGTCCTACGACGGTTCTTCTGGCCCGGAGTACATGAAGAAGTGTGGAGGTACTGTGCGTCCTGCCCGGAGTGTCAGCTGCACAGTCCCCGTCCCCACTTGAGGGCACCTTTTAGTACCCCTTCCCATCATAGAGGTCCCCTTCGAGCAAATAGCCATGGACCTAGTGGGACCTCTGGAGAAGACAGCCCGGGGCCACCAATATATACTTGTCATTCTGGATTATGCTACTTGCTACCCAGAAGCCATCCCCCTGCGAAACACGGACTCTAAAACGATAGCTAAGGAGTTGGTGGGGATCTTTGCCCGAGTGGGGTTACCAAAGGAGATATTAACAGACCAAGGAACCCCATTTATGTCAAAGCTAATGAAGGACCTTTGTACGCTGCTCCATATACATACCCTGAGAACTTCAGTCTATCATCCGCAGACTGATGGGTTGGTAGAAAGGTTTAACCGAACCCTCAAGGCTATGATAAGGAAGGTGGTAAGTTGGGATGGGAAGGACTGGGACACCCTACTACCCTACCTTATGTTCGCTATCCGGGAGGTACCTCAGGCCTCAACTGGATTCTCCCACTTTGAGCTGTTATATGGGGGCAACCCCCGAGGCATCCTGGACATGGCCAAGGAAATTTGGGAGGAGGAACCCAGTGAGGGGAAGAACATAATAGAGCATGTCCTACAGATGAGGGACCGGATAGCCCGGGTCATTCCCATAGTGAGGGAGCACCTAGAAAAGGCTCAAGAGGCCCAGCAAACCTACTACAAATCGTCAAGCCAAGGTTCGTCAGTTTCAACTCGGTGACCGAGTAATGGTACTGGTACCACGGCCGAAAGTAAGCTGTTGGCCCAGTGGCAAGGGCCCTACGAAATAGTTGAACCCGTAGGGGAAGTAAATTACAAGGTGCGACAACTGGGACGTTGAAAACTAGAACAGATATATCATGTCAACCTTCTGAAACCCTAGCATACCCGAGAAGCTTGCACAGTGGTTCAGGAAGACCTACACCCAGGGAACAAAAACCCTGGACCGGTGAGGGTGTCTCCCGATCTAACAACAGCCCAGAAGAAAGAGGTAACTGAGATGATGGCCCAATATCAAGATGTAGTCTCAACAAAGCCGGGTCGCACAACTGGGACATATCATCACATCGTCACGAACCCTGGGGCCAGGGTAACAATGAGGCCCTACCGGGTGCCAGCAGCCAAAAGGGAGGAAATAAAAGCAGAAGTCAGGAAAATGCTGGAGATGGGGATCATTGAAGAATCTCACAGTCAGTGGTCCAGCCCAATAGTGTTGGTGCCCAAACCTGATGGCACCACGAGGTTCTGCA